CAAAATAATGTTATTTTTAGCAACATCACATGACCCCTTTAAAACGGCAGTGCCTATTTCCAGTAAAAATCGCTTCTTATTCAACTTAGTTTCATTTTTTTTCCAGAATACATTTTAAATTTGCAAAAAATGTGCAAAAAATATACAAATTTGCTTGTATCACAGTATTTTGTCCATTCAGCTACTAATAACACATTTATATTAGTAAAACATGGAATGTTTTGGAAAACAATTCAAATACAATTTTACAAGTATTAAGGCACACTACAATTTGAATAAAAGGGTTACGTAACAATGACAACCATTTGCTACTGAAATGAAAGAGAATTAGTGTTTTGTTATAGTCCATTCATCTGCTACAACTTATTGCAATAAATGCTGCAAATTCGTTAGTGTCACTCCAGTTTAAACGTATAGAAACCACTTTTCAATGCAAGTAAAAACTACAACTTGCAAAAAGGGCTTATAAGCTACTGGTGGTTCTTCAGAAATTCTTCCATATAGGCACCAAGAGCCTTCACGTCTTCAACAGTCACTGCATTGTACAGGGAAGCCCGGATGCCACCCACAGACCTGAAAATGCATAGTGAAACAATCATAAAGCAGGAAACAGAATCTATTCACTGTATAACGTATATAAAGTAAACTGCTATATCCCAGACAGACCAGCACCGATTTGTTTCTCAAACAATTTGTCCATATTATGTAGAAATTACGTATAAGTAGTTATTAAATGCAGTTATTACAACATTACTCTTCCATTAAAACCAATGAAAATGTTTTCTGTCAAGCTATGCAAACTACATTAACAATGAATTAACACTAATTACAAAGACAGACGTAATATTTTCCTAATTTTCATACAACACCTGTGTCCTTTAAGTGAGATCATGCCAAGTTTAGAAGCACCACCAAGAAATGCCTTTTCAAGACTTTCATCCCCTTCCTTCTTTCCGATGCAGAATGGAACGTTCATGCGGCTTCGACACACCGTCAACTGGGCATCTGAAAGAGTCCGTATGGTACGTGATAAATAAGTCATTTTGACAAATACAAAAGTCTGAAGAGATTATAATGTAGACAAATATTGCATTTAGTGCTAGTCGGTTTGACCAAAAATCTGCATCACTTCTGAAGTTTATCACATTCTTTCCCCCTGATTGTACCTTTATATCAATCAGAATGCATGGAACATTTGCAGAACCACTGCATTTTAATCACAATCCAAACCAACCATGAGTAGTTTTTGATGTAAATTAGATTGTGTAATTATAAAATTTAAAGCAAAACCAGAATGGTCTGACTTTAACTTTGTGAAATTATGCTAAATAAAACATAACTACACAAAACAAAAACAGCAGATGGACTCAATAAGAACACAAATTCAATCTTTGACAGCAGGTGGCGCTTATGGAACAGCAGCAATACAGCATTCCCTTGGTTACCGCTGTAAACAAAGTAGTTTCCCTCAGAGATACATTCAAATAAACCCCCACCCCCAATTCAGTAGGATTTTAGAATTTGGTATTTGTAGTAAAACTGTGGTTATACAAACGGTAATCAATATGTCACTGGTTACTACACTTTTACTACAACAAAAACGGTTAATAAGGGCTGCTCTGCCTGCTACAGTATTTTCTCCTTTTTAAATTTGATTATACCAATCATTTTTTTTACTAATTTTTATTATATTTACTTAAAGATTAACATTAAATAATGATTAAAAACTGAATAAGTTCAATGTTTTAATATAGTGCATTATGAATAAACTTCTGTAAAAGAAGAATATATTTTATCTGCAAAACTGTGATCCAGAATGTTAGAAATGTTAGGATGATTACGACAGATAATGACGGAATCACTGACGAATAAAATCCATTGGAGCGGTTGATAATATCATAGATGATGTAGGATTTCTGTTTGTTTAGTCGTTCCATGGCATCCGCCCCTCCGTTGTTCTTGATCCACTCCAGAACCAAACCCATAATGTAAATACTGCAAGAAAAACAAGCATTTAATATTAATGTTGCGGTTTAAAAGAAAAATAGGTGAACACTAAAATTATAAAAGGGTTCCTGGAAAAAAAACTGAGAAAAGGAGAGTACGGTCTTGTAACATTTTAAGTTTCTCTCTCACATCCCTGTAAGCTGGAAAAGTGATCTACAAACAGCTCTTGAAATAAGCCACGAGGCTGTTTGTTTTAGTAATTATATGAAGATTAAGTGTGTTAGGTAGGATGCAAACAAAACCATGAAACCTCATTAAAAGTGGTCAAATTATATATCTGACTGGATGCCATTAAAGCTTCACAATAGAAAACAGTTCAACCATGACAACTTTCGGGAGGGTTAAGCATGGTAATGTACATGACAATGTTAATGTGTTTGGTCTT